GATGCAGGGCACACGGGTTCGTGCCCCGGTCCGGGAAGATCCCACATGCCGCGGAGCAGCTAGGCCCGTGAGCCATGGCCGCTGAGCCTGCGCGTCCGGAGCCTGTGCTCCGCAACGGGAGAGGCCACAACAGTGAGAGGCCCGCGTACCACAAAAACAACAACAACAACAACAACAACAAGCCAATGATGATTTTCCTTGATTCTTGATGAGTTTAAGATCTGAGTGTTGTCATTTATTTGAGGAGTTTGAAGTGATGAAGAATTAGCTTCTATGAAAAGTGCATGTGGAATAGCTACAGGCAGAATATTGTCAGAGAAGCTAAGCCAATGATGATTTTCCTTGATTCTTGATGAGTTTAAGATCTGAGTGTTGTCATTTATTTGAGGAGTTTGAAGTGATGAAGAATTAGCTTCTATGAAAAGTGCATGTGGAATAGCTACAGGCAGAATATTGTCAGAGAAGCTAAGAAAAGATGAAATCACTACAATGTGCAGCAGAACCTGCCATGATGGGCTACAACTGATGGTGGTAAAATTGTGTGTAGACAGAAAAAAAGGCTTCAATGGACAAATTCACAAAACTTGTGACAATGTAAAGTGTTTAAAGCTTATGGCTATTCTTTCTTTTTTTCATAAGCAGGTACTTCGGGAGATTTTCTTTTTGATCCCTCGCATGTTACTGAACCAGTAATGTCAACAGTGAACTTAATTTACTCTCATGGACTTAACCATCACTAGTTTCTGACCTGTCCTATCACATTGTAGTTTAATGGCTTACAACAAGTAACGCTGGGGCTTCCCTGGTGTGCAGTGGTTAAGAATCCGCCTGCCAATGCAGGGGACACAGGTTCGTTCGATCCCTGGTCCAGGAAGATCCCACATGCCGTGGAGCAACTAAGCCCGTGAGCCACAACTACTGAGCCTGCTCTCTACAGCCCGCGAGCCACAACTGTTGAGCCCATGAGCCACAACTACTGAAGCCTGTGCACCTAAAGCCCATGCTCTGCAACAAGAGAAGCCACCGCAATGAGAAGCCCGCGCACCGCAACGAAGGGTAGCCCCCATTCACCGCCACCAGAGAAAGCCCGCAAGCAACGAAGACCCAACGCAGCCAAAAATAAATAAATAAAATAAATAAATTTATTAAGAAAAGAAAAGGAAGTAATTTTTTTTTTTAAACTACTTTTGGAGCTTAGGGCCAAGGCTGAAATTTTTCTGAATGAGAACAACACTCAACCACTGCTACCGAACACTGAATGGCCCTGGAAATTCACCTTTGCTGAAGTGCTACCTGAAGTTAAAATAATAAGTGAGATTCCTGTTCCCATACAAATTTGCAGTCGATATATTTTCAAACTACAGTTACAAAGCATTTTTCAGAACTTAATGCAAGTGTGAAGGAAATTTCCCTATTCCAAAATCCATTTAGTTATGCAATTGAAGAGCTTTCACCTAACCTTCCACTGGAAATGATTAATCTACAAAGTAATGACATGCTAAAAGGCAAATAAAGAGAAGAACCTAATAGAATTCTATAAATACTTTATGCCTTCTAAGTGAAGAATATACTCAACTAAAATCATACGTGCTTGTGGGCTGGTATCAGAATGTGGCAGTACCTACATGCATAAAAAGACATTTTCAAAGATGAAATATATAAAATCTCACTACGGATCAGCATTTATAGATTAGATGAACATTTGCAAATAGATTTTGATGAGAGGGGAAATCTACCTTCAAATGCCATTTAAATGAAACGTTATCCCCCTAGAAAAAGCATTTCATTCTTCTCATTAGTAGATCTGTATCACAGAAAGCTGAACTCAAGTATTCTTAAATTTTGAATTTTGTCAATAAAATCTGGGAAAATTTGTTTCTCTTTTGTCATGTAAGTAACTTCATAATATCCTCTTTTTTGCCTCTTGGTCTACAAAACCTAAATGTTTACTTTCTTGGCCTCTACAACAAAAGTTGAGCTTGATGATCCCTGGTCTAAAGGACCTTATACCTGCAGTGCTGCACCTCTTTGGGAATCCTTCTCAACTACTGGGCATTGATTATAGGACTCTGGGAGCCTTTGGGATAACTTCTTAAGAGAAGAGTTCACCTACCCTAGTGTGGAACAGCATGGTAATGAGCAGAGGGGAGTACAAGAAGAAAAAAGAATATAGGTAAAGGTAAGGAATTGTTTTATAAGCTACCAAAGCTAAGAGTCTCTATCAGCAAAGAAAAACAAACAAGAGAAAGAG